GATCTGGTAGGCGCAGTCCCAGGTGCTCTTGTACTTGTGCGCTTCCAGCCCCTGCAGGACGGGAAAAGCGGGGTCAGAGCCCGGAGCCAGGGGTGCATCCAGGGGGGACTGCAGGGAGGGGGAGGAGGCAGAGAGCTGGGGGTACACCAGGAGGAACCAATCCTCCTTGGGGCCACTGAACCCAGCAGGGACGTCCCCAGCTCTATGCAAACACTGCCCAGCACCCCGGCGCCTGGCTGTGAGAGGGCAGCATCCCCAGGCAATGCCCAAACCTCGGTGCCACCAGGCGCCTGTCCCGGGGCTGCACAAAACAGCTCCCCAGCAGCGGGGGATCCCAGCCCGCTGCAGGCAGAGCAGTCCCACACCATGCCCCGGTGCCGTACCTGCATCCTGGTCTTCACCACGTCCAAGGGGGTGTTGCCGAAGACACTCGCAGCTCCAGCAAGGGCTCCAAACACCCCTGTGACGAAGGGGTTGATGACCTTGTTGGGATCGTCCCCTGGGAAGGAGGAGAGGTTGAGGGCAGGGTGGTGCTGGGGGATGAAGCACAGGATCCCCATGGGAGCCCGCAGGGAAAGTCCCAGGTCTGGCTGCTCCTGGTCAGGGCTGGTGCTGTGCCAAGTGGGGGGCCCAAGGCATTTGGAGGGGACTGTCCAGCCCCACAGAGCCCACACAGCACTGGGGAGTTCAGGGTGCAAGTGATGCTCTAGCACTGGGACATGCCAGCCCCACAAGCTGGGGCCCCTTGCCCTGGCCTTCACCTTCCTCCATCACAAGAGGCTGAGCCACAAGAAGTGGGGGATGCGCTGGTGGGAAGCCCAAGCCTGGCTCCCAAGGACGGGCTCCAGGAGCCAGCGGTGCAGCCGGGGTGCCCTGGGGGGACAGGGACACCGTACCTTTGTACCAGTTCTTGAGGGAGGTCATGACGAAGAAGCGGATGGCCTGGTTTGACCCTTGCTTGAGGACGGTCGCGGTTAAACCCTGGTAGGTCCCCTTTAGTCCTGCAGCAAGAGAGGGCATTGGAGGGGAGCACTACAGAGACAAACCTTCCCAGGCAGCCGGTCCCAGCCTGCGCCCGTCCCCCACCTCCCACCCCATCCCCACAGCGAGAGGGTACCAGAGCGAGACAGGACATCACTTCCCGGGGACTCACCCTGTTCCCGAACGATCTCTCGGACACCGTGGAAGAAGCCGCGGTACTTGGGCTTGGGGGAGCACTGGTCATGGATAAATTTCACCTGCGGGAAGAACGACATGCTTGTCCTGACCGAGGTGAGGGCAATGCAACGGCCCCAGAGGGCTGCCAGCCAGCTCCTGCCTGGCTCTGGGGATGGTCCCGAGACCGGAGCTGACCCACGTGGCCAGGCAGTGCCGGGGGAGTCACAGGGGAAGCCTGCACCCATGCCCAGTGGTGTATTTTGCAGAGGAAAACCCAGGAAACTGCCTCTGCAAGTGACTGCATGGGTTTTACAGCCTGAAAATGGGTGATGGGATGGCTCCCAGGTGGGGGGCTCCTCCTCGGAGTGGGGAAGGGGCCATGGCCACAGGGCTCAACCTCTCCATGGGGTGTTCCAGCATCAGCTCCTCCCC